CCTTCAATCCTCTTGGTTCCCCTGTTCCTGCTTAACAGCCAGTAAGACAAGGGCAAAGGAAAAGGCTCTTTGGGTTTGGGATGCACTGTTTGTGGATCAAAGTGGCACAATGCTTCTTCATGCCCTATGCAGAAAGGCAGTTCAGGACATCGAGATGGTCGTGGATGGCAGAAAGGAAAAGGCAAGGGCAAGTTCAAAGGCAAGAGAAGCAGCTTCAAGGGCAAAGGCAAGAAAGGTGGCTTCAGAGGCAAAGGCAAAGGCTTTGCTCCCTGGTCTCGTGACTTCAGCAAGGGCAAAGGCAAGAGCTACATGACCTCCACCGTCTTCACCCATGAAGCTGACAACAGCCCCACGAAGAGCATCAGGGAAGCCAGACAACTGCACCATGCAAGGTTTGGCATTGATCTCAATGGCCCTTCTGCTGCGGCATCATCAACACCCGATGAAAACTCTGCCGTCCTGAACTTTGACATCAGTCGAGAAGAAGACTTTCTGCGACGCCATCGTGAACAAACAGCTGAGCAGAGCAGTGAGTCCGCCGAGACAGCACCATCGTCTAAGAAGGTCTTGAACTTCCCGGTCATGATCCATCATGAAGCTGTGGACGATGTGACCCTCAACTCGTACCACACAGTGGCTGGCCGTCAACGACGAGGTCTACTGGTAGATCCTGGTGCAGCCGCTGGACTGATTGGAAGCGAGACACTCAGAGATCTGGTGGACAGCTGCTTGAAGCCCTCCGGCTTGGACAAGTTCATCACCTGGAAGGAACGAAGCACTTCTGTAACAGGAATCTCTGGCAAAGGAGATTCAACCCTGGCTGAGGTGACCTTTGAGTTCGGCTTGGACGAACATCATAGTGCTTCCTTCTCAGCCGATGTCATTGGAGGAGAAGGCTCATTGTGTCCAGCTTTGATCGGGAACCCAAGCCTCAGAGCGATGAAAGCAGTGCTGCTCACACAGTTCTTCCAGAACAATGATGGACTGCTTGTTTGCCATACAGACAACTCCTCAAGTCAGCCCACTATG